CCCCATGACCCCTCCCTCTTCCCTTTCCTCCTTCCCTTTCGCCCTCCCTCTCCTCCTTCTTGTTGTTGCAGTCGCCAGCATGTGATCCTCACGAATTTCTAAACTCTTGGTAGGCCTACTTGGTATGCAGAAGGCTATTTCACGTTAGTTGCGACCAATTTTGTCATCCAATTTTTCAGTGCAACAAACTTCCCTTTATAGTTGCAAATAAAAGTTCCGCCTCTACTTCACCTTATACTTGCATAAGACAGGCATCAAACTGAAAAGAAATGAATGCTCCATGTAATAAACACATACACTTAGAATTATAGATAAGATAAAAATTCTGGGGTTTCGTCAAATTTTATTGGAACTATGATGAACAAAGCTAAGTCGAGCGTTTGCTGAACTGGCTCGCCGTATTCTTGAGTTAAGGGGGGATTTTATTATGTATTAAATGTTGTGTTTAGGCTACATATTTTCTCTCCCACTGTCCCGTCAGGCACACAAGGTAGAGAACAGATGACTCTACTTTCTTTAACCTTGCATGGTACGCTCAGAGAGTCAATCTAGGCCCTGGGTGATTGATTGCCTGATCCGATCTTTGATCGTGTTTCTGTAACTTCCAGTTGATCTACCTCTTCTATCTCTTCTACCTCTTCTTTTGTTTCCGTTTTGTTACCCTCATACGTTAAGTGAACAGAAAACATGAAGGGTGGCATATCTGCTATTTTTTAACGATACTGAGACGAGAATTATATTCAGAGTAAAGGGGACAGATCTGGATTTTTAGTAAGTTTTTGGATCGAGGATCAGTTAAAAGACTTTGACTTTTTTAACGCATTGTAATGTCGGGCTGAGCTCAATAGCCCACGTTTGTCCGGACAGGTACAGTCGAAGCCCGCTTCATAAATGATCTAAATTGTGTCGGTCGGAGCGTAAAACGCCACATTCAAATCAATCGCAATACATTTATTTTGAAACTGAACAATGGAATTGCTTGATTAACATGAAAAAATAAATGTGATTAAAAGAAAAAAAGTAATCATGAATATAGACATGGGCAAAAATAACCAACCAACCAACCCTCCAAATAGACCCCCAAACACACAAACAAAAAAACAAACAAAACACAGACCCCCAAACAAACACCTCCGCCCCCACTCTCTGTATTTTTCCGTTTAAACCTGAATGAAAATCCCCAGAAAAATCATTAAGAGCGGTCAGCAAAGACATAGACGACTTAAGGGGTCATTTTTTAATAAAATCACATAGATCTATCTCCTTTACAAATAGAATTTGAGGTTTGAATTGAGTGCTAGCAATGAAATAAATCACGCCGCGTTTGTAACTCAAATAGACAACCCCCTATTTCTAAGTATCTTTGGTTTACACCAAGAAAGGCTGGTTGTGCAAACTACAATAAAGCATACTTTCGTCAAGCTTAGTTTTAGATCAAATGTTGGAAAAAGCAGATTATATAAAAATACTGTATATAAATATAAACCAGTTTTTTTTTTCCCCTTTCTTATCAGAAAAGAACAAATTCAATATTTTGATTAAACATTTTTGGCCATCAGTACTCTTGTCTTGGGCTGTTTTATTATGTACTAATTGTAAAAAAATGAACCTCACACACTGGTTCTCTCTCTCCCTCTCTTTAATATCTCTTCCTCCCTCATCTCTCTCTCTCTCTCTCTCTCTCTCTC